TAGAAATAATTAGAAGGTAAATGATTAACCAAAATTCAATTATTAGAAATTTTAAATATTTTGGCCATTTCTTGCTTCATTTTAAAGAATGGTATGAATCACCTTCCCAAAATCAATTTTAAAGTATTTATTCACAAGATTTTCCCTCATTATTTTATACTTTGATTCATTTATAGTTCAATCTATTATTTATTGTGATTTTTTTTACCTTTTATCCACATTTTTAGTTGTATTTAGCTCAGAAAAATATTCTGGTAAAAAATCTTTTATACCTATAAATTATCTGATACATTTCATAAAGTAGAAACATGGGAAGTTTTTAAAATATGCCTCAAATGTGGTTTGAAATGTCATAGGCCTTCTCTTAATCCACTCCACCCACTAAAAAAGTTACAAAAATGTTCCTGGGATTTGGTTCACTCATTTTTCTCACAGAAAAGTAACCATAGTCGACATCTCATTAGCTGTCAGGGTGATGTGCAGCTGGAAGGGAATCAGCACGCGGGACCCAGGGCTGAGTTTCCTTCAGTGTAACTCTATAAGGAATCTCCTGTAGGATTCCATATGGAAAGAATTGTTCCCAAACCATGAAATTTACAATCCATTTCTTTTGTTGATCCAAAGGTGAAGTCTTAAAGACTTTCAAGTATTCTCATTGCACTGAAGATTTTAAACAGGTAATAACTAATTAAAATAAGTATTTAATTAAGTTCTTTTCTGTCATGACATCCACAGCTGTGAATGATTTTAAGTATACTATACTATCACCACTTGCATAGATAGTATAGAAATAGTTCTAGCCCACTGGGTAAAAACTGGGATTTCTAGAACCAGTAGCACTAATTTTAGTGGCAGTCATCTTCCATGATGGGTTTCAGGCATGAGCCAGAATCACTTTGATCCTTTCACTGATGCATTAACTCTCTGATTTTTCACATATAAGCGGCAGATTAAATGGGTTTGAATTAGATGGGTACAGGTGGTGCCACCTGCTCCAACCCCTTGTTGCAGCTTTATTTGGTCTTCCACTGCTTTATTCTGTGTTTGAACAAAGGATGGACTGCCCAAGCTGCTCTTGACAGTGATCTAGAACTAGGCCAACAGATTGGCAGGCATATTACCTACCTTCTGCAAGCTGAAAGAGGAGGTCTATCGGATTTGTAATTTTGTAAAAAGAAATTGAAACTTAAAGGTCCTCCACCAAGTTAAGCAACTGTGCATCTTCTAAGTCAAGTACAGTAAAAATGAGGAAAACTAAAATAATATAAACTATATTAAACAATGTACATCAGAACCTTTTCCCCAAGTTTCACTGCAGTATAATTGACAAATAAAATTGTATACATTTATGATATACAGCACCATAAATTTAATATATGTATACATTATGAAATGAATACCACAAACAAGTTTGTTAACACATTTGTCACCTCACAGCGTTACCTTTCATGTGTGTGTGGTGTCAGAACTTAAGATTATTCTTAGCGACTTTCAGGTGTGCAATACAATATTATTAACTATAGTTACCATGCTCTACATTAGATTCCCATAACTCATCCATCTTATAACTGAAAGTTTGTACCCTTTTGATCAACATCTCCACACTTCCTTCACCCTCTGGGTCCCAACCACTATCATTCTCTGTTTCTATGAGTTTAATTTTCTTAGATTCAAATATAAGTGAAATCATGCAGTATTCATCTTTCTCCATGTGTTTCATTTCACTTAGCATGATTATCCATTTTGTTGCAAATGACAGAATTTCCTTCTTTTGTGACTAGTAATATTTCATTGTTAATAGATACATTTTTAATCCATTCATTCATCAATGGACATTTAGGTTGTTTCCATGTCTTCATTTTGAATAATGCTGCAACGAACGTGGGACTGCAGACATCTCCTCAACATACTGATATTTTCCCTTCAGGTACATAAGAAGTGAGATTGCTGAATCATATCAGAGGTCAATTTTTAATTTTGTGAAGAACTTTAATACCATTTTCCAAAATGGCTGTTCCAATTTACATTCCACTAACAGTGCCAGGGGTTCCCTTTTCTATACATCTTTGTTAACACTTATCTCTTGCGTTTTTTAATAACAACCATCTTAACAGATATGAGGCGATATCTCATTGTGGCTTTGATTTGCATTTCTCTGATGATTAGTGATGTTGAGCACCTTTTCATGTATGTGTTGACCATTTGTATGCCTTCTTCGGGAAAAGGTCTATTGAGGTTTTTTGCTCATTTTTAATAGAATAATTTCTTCTTTTCTTTATTTTTTCTGTCTTTCTCTTTTGTTTCTTTTGCTATTGAGTTATACAAGTTTCCTATATGTTTGGGATATTAACTCTATCAGATACATAATTTGCAAATATTTTCTCTCACTCCAAAGGCTGCATTTTCATTATATTGTTTCCTTTGCTATGCAGAAGCTTCTTAGTTAGATGCACTCCCATTGATTTATTTTTGCTTTTGTTGCCAGTGCTTTTGGTGTCATATTTGAAAAATCATTGTCAAGACCTACATTATGGAGTTTTTCCCTGTTTTATTTTTTCTAGAAACTTCCAGGTCTTACATTTAGGTTTTTAATCCATTCAAGTTACTTTTGTGAGTTGTCTAAGATAAGGGCCCAATTTCATTCCTTTGTATGTACAATGATTTTTTCATTCTTTTGTATGTACAATGGTTTTCCCAGTACAATGTATTGAAAAACTATCCTTTCCCCATTTTGTGTTCTTGGCACCTTTGTCAAATATTAGTAGATCATATATATGAGTTTATTACTGGGCTCTCTATTCTGTTCCACTGGGGTATGTGTCTGTTTTAATGCTCATACTATTATTGTATTGATTATTATAGCTTTGCATAATAATATTGTTTGGAGTTTGGAAGTGTAATACATTAATCATTGTTCTTCTTTCTCAAGATTTCTTTGGATATTTGGGGTCTTTTTTGGTTCCGTATAAACATGATAATTTTTTTCTATTTCCCTCTTCTTGTTCCTGGTCTTAGAAGGTAAGCTTTCCGTTTTCACCATTGAGTATAACGTTAGCTGTGGGCCTGCCCTTTTGTGTTACGTTCAGTCTATACTAATTTGTTGAGAGTCTTTAATCATAAAAGGATGTTTAATTTTATCCTATGCTTTTTCTGCATCTATTGAGATGATCATATGATTTTATCCTTCATTTAGTTAATGTGGTATATAATATTTATCGATTTGTGTATGGAACCAAACTTGCATCCCAAGGATAAATCCCACTTGATCATGGTGTATGAACCTTTTAATGTGTTGTTCAATTTTGTTTGCTAGTAATTTGTTGAGAATTTGGGTGTCTGTGTTCACCAGGGATACTGACATGTCGTTTTCTTTTCTTGTGGTGTCCTTTTATGGCTTTAGGTATCAGCGTAATGTTGGCCTTGTAAAATGAGTTTGGAAATGTTCCTTCTTCGATTTTTTGGAAGAGTTTGAGAAAGATTGGCACTAATTCTCTAAGTGTTTGGGAGAATTCACCTGTGAGGTCATCTGATTTTAGACTTTTCTGTTAAGAGGGTTTTGATGATTGATTCAATCTTCTTACACAGTATTGATGTGTTCAGATATTCTGTGTCTTAATGATTCAGTCTTGGTAGGCTGTATGTTCTAGAAATTCATCCAGAAGCATAAGTTATCTGATTTATTAGCATATAATTGTTCATAGGGGTCTTTTATATTTCTGTAGTATCAGCCATAATATTTCCTCTTCCATTTATAATTTTATTTGTGTCCACTTTCATTTTTTTGACTAATCTAGTAAAGATTTGTCAATTATGTTGATGTTCTCAAAAAAAAAACACTCTTCTTTTTGTTAATCTTTTCTATTGTTTTTCATTTTCTATTTCATTTATTTCTGTTCCAATCTTGATTAATTCCTTCCTTTTTCTAAACCTGGGTCTAGTTTGTTCTTTACCTTATAGTTCCTTTGGTATAAAATTGGGTTATATGAGATTTTTATTTTTTTCTTAATGTATTTATAACACTTTCCTCTTAAAACTGCTTTTGCTGCATCCCAGACATTTTTATATATTGTGTTCCCATTTTCATCCATCTCAAGATATTTTTAATTTCCTTTTTTATTTATTCTCTGACTCATTGGTTGTTCAGGAGTTTATTAATTTCCATGAAACTGTGAATTTTTTAATTTTCCTCCTGTTACTGATTTTTTGTTTCATACCACTGCAGTAAGAAAAGATACTTGACATAAGTCCAACCTTCTTGAATTTATTAAGACTTGATTTGCAGCCTAATATATGACCTATCCTGGAGAATGCTCTGCATGAGCCTGAGAAAATGTATATTCTGCATCAGATCCTTGACCTTACAGGAAAACAAAGAAATTCAATGCAATATAATATGCTAAAGGAGTTTTCTAAAAATCTGTGAAAGAAGGAAGAATTAAATCTATGTTTCTTAGCTAAAGATACCCAAATTCAACTCATTAACTCTAGAAGGGTCAAATCCCACCATAAACTGTCAAATGAAGCATTGTTCTCTTTAAATTTACTGTTTAGTTTTAATAACATTTTATTCTATAGATTTTGTTAAAATAAATTTCCCTAGATACATTTTGATAGTAGATTCAGCCATTCTCCCCTTCTCTTCAGCTGGGGAGCAGAATCACAAATTCCAGCATCACTTTCATTAAGCCAGGAGCAGAAGTTTCGCATTTGATTTAGCACAGTGGCTCCCCTCTGCTGCCTGATTTCTTTTTTGTTACTAACTCTTCCCCTGATCCAAACCATGCTACACTATGGAATAGTGACATGTTGAACATAAATTATGACTTATGCCCAGGAATCTGTTGGGATGAGAGGTGGAGCTGCAGCTGTGCTTTGATGGGTGGATAGGATTTGAGAAGCAAGTTATTCTCAGGCAGAGTAAACAAACTCTAGCTAGAGTGGAGTGCTGACATGGGAGTGGAGTTGGCAGGTGGGCTAGAGTGGGTAGAGTGAGGCAGGCAATGGGCCAGACTGTCAAGATTGGATGTCATACTATAATGAATGAGGTACCCCAGTAGGTATTTAAGAGAAGGTAAGGCATAATGAAAATGATATTTCAGGAATCTTAACTCTGGCAGAAATAATCAGAGACCAAAAGAACAATAAAGAGGCAGATGAGGTTGTCTGAATGTAATGTCCTGTTCCAGAAAGCCTGAAACCAGATAAAGACAGTGAGGAGGAGCCCAGAGTCAAGAAAAAATTGCGAAGGAATGTGACCCTCACAAGGCCTTTTGTGTTCAAAAGATCAAAAACCAAGCCAAACAAACATAATTTCCTTTATCTCATTACATAACACATGCGTTTAGCTTATGTTTACATTTTAAACTTTTCCCTTTATTATGGAGAAAATCTATCTTTCATAAGCATAACACTATTAAAGATGTAGCATAAAAATGTATATAAATTATTATTAGAGGAAGAAGAATGTAATCTAGAAAGAGTCTAATTATCATGAGAACAGAGCCCTAGAACTAGGGCTGAGCCATAAACAAACATGGGTAACTGAAATGGAAGATAGGGTCAAATGGCATTTCCTGCATAGCCCCTCAATTGCCAATGCAAGTATTTTATTATCAAAATACACACAAAAAGCAAATATCAGCTGTCACGTATTTCCATTTTATACTGGAGACAACAGTGGGGACAAGAAGACTAGAAAGCCCAGATCAGGACTGGAAATGGATGGTTTTCTGTCCCTGGAGTATGAGACACAGAGTGCTTGTTCAAAGTTTTACTGTCAAAAGAACCCTTAGATTCCACCACATCTAATTCCTCCTCAGCACTTAGGTATTTGATTTGTATTAGAGGATGCGTCATTTGTCAGACCATCCCTAGGTTGTTTTGTCTTTTCACAGAGGTTATAAATTTCTTAGTAGCAGTATGTTCCCCTCCTCTTGGGGTTTTTGTATCTCCACAGACAATTAACAAAGTGTCTCCACACTCTTTAAATTTATGTATTTATTCATTCATTCATTCCATTAGCATTTAGTGAGTAAACATGTGGAAATGGAAAGGGAGTGGGGTGGATATGAAAAAGTCATGTCATTACTTTCAAAGAGATTATAGTCCAAGAGAGGAGATATGACGTGTCTAGAAGGCAGTAGAAGGCAGATTATTCTAAATAGGGGTCCAAAGGAGAATTTTAACTCAGCAATACTTTATGGAAGAGATGGCACTCAATCTGGACCTTAAGCCAAATTTTGAAAAAAGTGGCAATGTATGCAGAAATAAACATATAAGCACAAGCATGAGGGCAGAAAAAGACAAGACATTCAGCAAACAGTGAGTAGACCAGTCTACCTAGATCACAAAGTTCAGGTAGGGAACCAATAAGAGAGAATGCTGTGAAGGTTATCTAGGGCCCAATTATAAATGAACTTGAGGAACAGCTAGGGCTGTGACTAGTCTCCAAGCACTAATGTGATCAGTGGTCTCCTAAGGTCAATCTGGGAGACATGGCAGACTGAGAATGAAAATTTTCCAAAATAGGGATAAAATTAAGATGCTGTTACAATTATCCAGGCTGAGGGAGCTCCCAGGACACAGGCAACTGGGGGAAGAAGAGCAAATGAGTGAAAGCATAGAAAATCACAGCTTGGGCTGGGCATGGTGGCTCATGCCTATAATCCCAACACTTTGGGAGGCCGAGGTAGGAGGATTATCTGAGGTCAGGAGTTCAAGACCAGCTTGGCCAATATGGTAAAACCCTGTCTCTACTAAAAATACAGAAATTAGCTAGCTGTGGTGGCAGGTGCCTGTAATCCCAGATATTAGGGAGGCTGAGGCAGGAGAATTGCTTGAACTTGGAAGGTGGAGGTTGCAGTGAGCTGAGATCATGCTACTGCACTTCAGCCTGGGCAACAGAGCAATACTCTTGTCAGAAAGAAAAGAAGAGAAAAGAAAAGAAGGAAGAAAGGAAGAAAGAAAAAGAAAAAGAGAGAAAGGAAGGAAGGAAGGAAAGAAAGAATGAATGAAAGAAAGAAAGGGCCAGGCGCGGTGGCTCAAGCCTGTAATCCCAGCACTTTGGGAGGCCGAGGTGGGTGGATCACGAGGTCAGGAGATCGAGACCACCCTGGTCAACATGGTGAAACCCCGTCTCTATTAAAAATACAAAAAATTAGCTGGGCATGGTGGCACGTGCCTGTAATCCCAGCTACTCAGGAGGCTGAGGCAGGAGAATTGCCTGAACCCAGGAGGCGGAGGTTGCAGTGAGCCGAGATCGCACCATTGCACTCCAGCCTGGGTGACAAGAGCGAAACTCCGCCTCAAGAAAAAAAAAAAAGAAAAAAAAGAAAAAAAGAAAGAAAGAAAGAAAGGAAAGAAGGAAGGAAGGGTGAAAGGAAGAGAGAGAGAAAGAGAGGAAAAGAGAGAAAGAAAGGAAGGAAAAAAGGAAGGAAGGGGGAAGGAAGGAAGGAAGGAAGAGAGAAAGGAAGAGAGAGAGAAAAAGAAAGGAAGGGAGGAAGAAAGGAAGGAAGAAAGAAGGAAAGAAATGAGGAAAGGAAGTAAGGAAGGGAGAAATGAAGAGAGAAAGAAAGAAAGAAAGAAGGAAACAAAGGAGGACAGGAAGAAAGGAAGAAAAGAAAGAAGGAAGGAAAAATAGGAAGGAAGGAAAGAAAGAAAGGGAGAAAGGAAGAGAAAAAGAAAGAAAGGTAGGAAGGAAGGAAAGAAAGAAAGAAAGAAAGTTACAGCTGGGTGTTGAGAGTGAGCATTAGTCAGGTCCTTAAAGGGGCATCCAGACTACACCAGGAGTTTATTAACTGTCATCTTGCAGCCCCTCCACAAATCTTGTAAATGGATAAACCCAATCTTGCTAATAACTTCCCATAACATGTGAGCTCTCTAAGCCTAGGGGCTATTGGTTCTCTCACTATCTGCTCCCAACTTCTTCCTCCAGATCATTGCTGGAAGGGCAGGTCAGCTCCCAACACATACCACCACCACAGTTACCACACTGACACCACCACGTTCCTTTATCTCATTATATACTACATGTGTTTAAATGATGTTTACATTTTGATCTCCCCCATTGAATCTGTAAGCTCTCTGAGGTGAGGACAGTATGCTCAGGACTTAACACGTCCCATCACTCTCTTGCTTCTTTCTCCATCTACCCCATGACCTTGGTGGCATCGTCCATCCATTGACCCATGCACTCACTCAATATCTACCAAGGACTTCTAGGTGGCCAAGGCAATCTGGTTACAAAGAGCAGCATCTCTTGTCCTCATGAACCTTACCTTTACTGCCCCCAAATTTCTTTCTTTTACCATGTCATTGTTGCTAGGTCTAATTTCACCTTCCTCATTTATGCCACTTTTTCTCATTTTTTCTTCTCATTGGTCTTTTCTTATTCAATAACTTCTGCTGCCTTATCAAGAAAACTAATGTGACTAAATCTGGCCATCGTTTACTTAATTTTTGTGAGATTTGTCATTAAATTCTCACTATTGGGAATGCATTCAAAATGCCATGTATCAGTGAGTACTATAATGTTATGATAGTAAACATCAATAAAATATTAGACCTAAGATATACACCCATTTAAGTAAACTAATGTAAAGGTATACAATTCTGTATCTGATTCCATGTACCTACTTTATCTACCATAAATATCTATTTTATACTGTTGTGCTCCAAAGCAAGGTGAAGGCCAAAGAAGTTCTCTGTACAGGTATTGATCGACTTACGACCTATGCAACTTACAGCCATTCGACTTTACGACCACAATCGCTAGCCACGACTGCTCCACGTCTGGCAGCGCAAATGTTGCCCAGGGGGGCGTACGACAGTGCAGGCCAGCTTCTGGCAGCACTACCATCTCCGCGTGCACCATTTCAACTGTAAATATAGCCTACTCAACTAACGACCAAATCGTGTTACGGCCGTTCCGCCGTCCCGACCGCGGTGGTAAGTCGAGCACTAGCTGTAATGGCTTAGATAAACTGCATTGGAAACAACCACTTTTGCCTGTCCCTACTGTTGTTTCTCTTCCATCTCTTCACCCTTCTATACACTATGTCTTCTAAAATGTTCCCTTTCTCCGTGTTCCTTTACCATGCATATTTGCTCAGCGAGACTGTGTGTCCTTTATAGCAGACTTCACTAACTTATTTTAAATAAGGCACCCTGGTTCCTCCTGAGATCCATGTGCTGGGTAAGGATATTTCTATCCTTACCCAAAAAGAGCGAACTCATCGCCTCTTTTTGACCTATCGCCACTGCCGAAATTTCTCTATCTTGCTGGAGCCTTCAGGCTGTTCCAAGGACACCTTCTTGCTCCTGGCCATCAAGTCACAGCCTGGCCATGTGGAGCGGCGGGCAGCTATCCGCAGCACATGGGGCAGGGCTAGGGGCCAGCAGCTGAAGCTGGTATTCCTCCTCGGGGTGGCAGGACCCACTCCCCCAGCACAGCTACTGGCCTATGAGAGTAGAGAGTTTGACGACATCCTCCAGTGGGACTTCACTGAGGACTTCTTCAACCTGACACTCAAGGAGCTGCACCTGCAGCGCTGGGTGGCGGCTGCCTGCCCCCAGGCCCGCTTCATGCTAAAGGGAGATGATGATGTCTTTGTCCACGTCCCCAATGTGCTAGAGTTCCTGGATGGCTGGGACCCGGCCCAGGACCTCCTGGTGGGAGATGTCATCCGCAAAGCCCTGCCCAACAGGAACACTAAAGTCAAATACTTCATCCCACCCTCAATGTACAGAGCCAGCCACTACCCACCCTATGCCGGTGGGGGAGGATATGTCATGTCCAGAGCCACTGTGCAGCGCCTCCAGGCCGCCATGGAAGAGGCTGAACTCTTCCCCATCGATGATGTCTTTGTAGGTATGTGCCTGAAGAGGCTAGGGCTGAGCCCCACGCATCATGCTGGCTTCAAGACATTTGGAATCCGGCGGCCCCTGGACCCCTTAGACCCCTGCCTGTATAGGGGACTCCTGCTGGTGCACCGCTTGAGCCCCCTCGAAATGTGGACCATGTGGGCACTGGTGACAGATGAGGGGCTCAAATGTGCAGCTGCCCCCATACCCCAGCACTGAGGGGTGGGTTGGGCAACAGCCCGAGTGGACTCTTGATTTTCTATCATGATGAGAAATTGTTCCCTGCTGGTCTACAGGAAATGCCGACTTGAGTTTTTGTAACCCCCTCACCTTGTTAGCTCTAATTAAAAATACTGCAACCTGAAAAAAAAAAAAAAAAAAAAAAAAAAAAGAAGAGTTTCTACCTTCACCAAAAGGATAGTGACAAATACATTTGGAGGTATAAGAAAGTTAATTAATGGAGAATAGTGTGACTATAATGTGATTTCATAAAGCAGTTACGAAGAAACGTGGTTTAGGTGAACAGGGATGGATGAACAGAAGCCAATAGTTCCTGGACACCACTGTCTGCCCCTTGCCTCAATCATATGCCAAGGGAATAAAAGGGCAGAAATTGTGCCCCTGAGACCCTATGACCAATGGCATCTTATAATTCCTTTCTAACAGCTTAGCTTTGCCTCCCCAACTAGACCCTAATCTCTTAAGAATTCACCTGCATTACTTTATTGCACATCATAGTATTTAACTAAATGCAAAAATTAGTAAAAACCAAACTACAGAGGCCTCACCCCACTGAGTAAAATGTTTTCTAAAATAATAATCTGAGATTCATTTAAGAAAACCATCTAAAAAGACTATAAAGGCCTACTCTAATAATATTCTAAAATTTCAGCAGGAGAGGAAGACTAACCTCAAATTTATACATGGCCAGAAAATACAAATAAATCTATCTAGTATAAGACTTTCTAGAAAGATAACCTGAATTTTTCTGATAAAATGCATTAAAATATTTTTGTTGTTAATGGTCAGGGATTCGATGTTTTGGTGTTTCATATAAAACACGAAATGAAGGAATATCTATACCAATAGAGATTAAAGTGCTATGTATGAAGGGATGACTATGCTTAAGAAATTATTGACCCTTCTTATCTCTGTGATTTAAAAAGTCAGTCTCTCAGCATAGTAGTCACTGGTATATTTTTGAGGCCAGAGAAAACCTTTGCAAAAGAAGAGTTTCTACCTTCACCAAAAGGATGCCAGATTGCAGGCAATGAAAATTAAGAGGGTTCTGTGGTATTATTTAAGGTAACAGATGTAGAATAAAATCTGCAAGTGTTACAGTGTATCTGTGGCAAGTGATTAAATACTTTCAGATTTCAGAAGCATACAGTCTTCTGTATGCACTATTATTACTGAATTATATAGTGTATTGGTTATTACTGACTAGGGAAAAGGCAAGAGGAGGGCAGAATGATACAATAAAACAGGATGGCACGCACTGTCTGTAATAAATGTAACTATAAACATGCCAGTGAGAAGTTTAAAAGGGAACTCTGGAATGAGGATGCAATTTATTCATGATTGACATGACTAAACTATGGCAAGGTAACATCCAACTGATGTTAATGTGGCTGTTACTAGTTTCATTAAAATAGACAGAAAATATTGTAGCAATTTCTAGTAGATAAAGTCTTTGAAATAAATTCTATAAACTCAGTATTTCTAATTCAACAGAACTATGAAAAATACATTGCTATTTTCATAAGCATAACAAACCTTATAACAATAAAATACAACTGTCATAATGGTAAGATTGCCACCATACAGCAGCACAGTAGCTATGGGCAGAATCTTTTGAAATTAACTATAATATTTCTTACAATTCTTCTAAAACAATTTTATTTTGACCTCTCCTGTCCCAGGAGTTACAAAGGTATCTGAGTCATTCATTAAGTGGCCATAATATAATTAAGTCTAAAATCATTCCTAAGGGCGTCTTATACTAGAAAGGGACCTAAAGTTTCATCTACTAATGCAGACAAACTGAATGGTGGTTGACAGTGCAGGAGAATCGTCACCTTCAGACAACACAGCCACTATAAGTTTCAGCTCCCTTTCTAGCCTCATGCATTTCAGGGAAATTGCTTCTCTTCTAACTACAAGCAGACAGAAAAAGCAGACAATAAAACACAGATAAGACAACTCTGGGGTAACTGCCAAACTTCACTCATACAATAAGCCTCAGCAAAACAGAGGGCCTTAATAAGCACATTCCTTTCCCTTCAGGTATACTGAGATAGGGAAGCTCAAAGCAGACTGGAGGGCATGCCTGCAGCTGCAGGAAGATGTATGGGAACACACATACAACTCTCCCTCCCAGATAAGCACAACAAAGAGACGCAGAAGAAGTCTAAGCCTCAAATAAACTCTTCCACCCTGAAACCTTAAAAACTCTTTGAAAGAGAGTATGGCTCTGACCTAACTCAGCCAGAAGTCTCTCTCAGGTTCATTTTCTAAAGTAAACCTGTCCTTGTTGACTGGCAAGCCACGCTTCATGTTTCTCTCTTCTTTCTTTAATTCTTACAGTGGTAGCAAATTAAAATTTGTGCATGTCTTGAATGTTCATATAAGGATGCCTAAATAATTCCAAAAAGCAGTGTTACTGTCAGCCATTTGTTAGGTATCTGTTAGAAATTTCTAGCTATGCCTAATACATATTAGTCAGAGCAAAAACCCTAATGAATAATAGTGATAGAACCACTAAATCACCATTTATATAAGTAGCTAAAGAGGCACAAGACATTACCCTATGAGTCCAATTTGGCTTTTGCTCTTGAAAATTTTGATGAGAATTTGCATGCCAAAAATATGTAAATAACAAAAAAGACCATCACCTTATTTTTGAAAAAATGGACAGAAATATTTAAAATTAAATACAATTAAAACTTTATCATTTAGTCACTAAAAAATAATTTATTTTGCAGTTATTAACACAAAAAGGAGAATCCAATCTGTGCATCAATAACTACTGAAAGTAAGCTTTAAAAGTATAATTTCCAAATAAATACATAATCAAAATATATTTATGACAAGAAAAGATACAAGCAACCAAGGATAAAACATTTTATCCATTCTTCCTCTACAGTGCCTTTTATTTCAGGAGAGAACTAGTTTAGATCTTCATAGACTCAAACTAGACCATTCAAATTAGTCCCCTAAATAGTTTTCCTTGCTTCGATCACATTAATCCTTTCATTTCCTGTTCAAAACCTTTACTAGTTCCCCAAAAAAAACAAACTCTAAACTCTTTGGTCTAGCATATAGTTGATACCGATCTATGTTTCCAAACGCACTACTTCTTCTTTGCTCTCATTGAAAGATATCAACCCTCCTCCACTCCATCCCCAGACCCAATAACATTAACAATTTATTCCCGCATTTCCTCATAATCTTAGGCTTTCTGAAGTCCCCTCTCCTTTCCCCTATGCCCACATACCTGAGTTCTACCCTCATCACCAGGTCTCCCACAACACCTTCCTCAGCCAGGCCAGAGTCCACATTGCTCACACCACCTGCAATGTCCTTTGTATACACCCTCTCCTAGATGCTACTTATTCTAGTATATAATTTATGACTTCATTGGTACTGCAAAACCTAAGAGCATTTCTTATACCACTTTTTGGTAGTCTAGCACTTTTTATCCAACCCCTAACTCCCAAGTACCATGATGGTCAGAGAACTATTTTTTTAATGCAGGTATTCAGCTAGCATCTGCTAAGTCAAAGACATATAATAGCAATGATGCATGAAAATTAAAAGTGAATTATTTCTTGACAATGTACAAACAATTTGGACCAAATAAGATTTTTGAGAAGCTAATTTTTTAAAAATTCTGAGAATTTAGAATCCAAGATGGAGGGCTTCTAAATTGCTTTCTTCCAACAGAAATGGTGATGAGTTTGCCCTGGAGATCATGCTTTTCCAGTGTGCCCTAGAGGAAACTCTTGGCCTATGACAATTCATTGTTCACTTGTCTGTCTATACCAGCAAGGATAGCATGTTCCATTTCTGCTCTCTAAGTTATCAGCAACTCATGCAGTAGGAACTCAGTCAGTAATTGATTTAGCACCATGATTATCCAAACACAATGAAAGAATAACCTTAACTAGGCACATAAATGTTAAGTAAGGTTAATTTATGATGTGCAACTTCAAAATAGATGTACAGTTGAAATTCTAAGGATTAATTTATATAAATATACACACTTACACAATAACCACAATAACAAATATACAAACTTCAAGATAAATCCTATGTGAACATATGCATGCGCATGTACATTTTTATACATCATTGAACTCTTCTAAAAGAAAGAACAATTTTGGAGAGAAAAAATGAGGAATGGGCACTTTGGGAGGCTGAGGTGGGAAGATCACTCAAAGCCAGAAGTTTGAGACTAGCCTGGACAACAAAGTGAGACTCCCATGTCTACAAAAACGAAAAAATAATTTTAAAATTAGTGGAGCATGTTGTTGTGTGCCTGTAGTACCAGCTACTTAAGAGAGCGGATACAACAGGGAAGAATTGCATGAGCCTAGGAGTTCAAGGCTGCAGTGAGCTAGGAACTTGCCACTGCACTCCAGCTGGGGCAACACACTGAGATCCTGTCTTTAAAAATAAATAAATACATAAAATAAAAAATTAAAAAAGAAAATTTTCTACTTTCTACTCATCTGTATTCCTTTTCTTTAAACCATAGAACATGTATAACTTTCAAATTAACTCCTCTCTACCCATCCTCACCACGTAGAAGGGGTAGTCTAATGGTAGTTAGAACATTTAGTCTACCGTTAGAGTGAACTAACAGAAATGTTAGACGTTAAGATCTGAGCATGAAAGAAAACATAGACTAGACATGAGGCTTTGAAGGTCCAATAGGAAGATTTTATTTTCGTGGATTAATTTCTATATAACAATGGACAAACTCCTACTTAGTACTTTCTAATTTAAATTCTTCTTTCACCTATGTGTCCAACACATCTATATATTAAAAGAAATAACTACCCAAAGGCATAATCCATCCTTCCGAGTAGTAAAAAGAAACCACAAAACGCTCTTCCGAAGGTACAAGATAGCAATAAGAAAAGCTTCTCATTAGATGTTCTGTAAAAAGCAGCAGCTCCTGGCTGGGAGCTCACGGCTCCTGGCTCACGCCTGTAATCCCAGCATTTTGCGAGGCCGAGGCAGTTGGATCGCCTGGGGTTGGGAGTTAGAGACCAGCCTGGCCAGCATGGTGAAACACCATCTCTACAAAAAAATTAGCCAGATGTGGTGGCAGGCACCTATAATCCCAGCTACTGG